TCCTGGCCGCAGGACGGGACCCGAAGATGTTCCGGGTTTGAGTGATTTCCCTGTTGCACCGAAGTTTTTGAACTTTCACTCACATCTAGGGATAAGCCAGGGGGCTTTGTCCAGCGTTTCCGACGAGTTCCAAAATGCCAAATTACCGGTCTCGTCGACTTTCGCATGTATTGAATAAACGCTTACAGGCGTGTCGTCGGTCCATTTTTCCAGGCATTCATACTCTATGCCCTCTTTTCTTTGGCAAAACGCGCGATGATATGCACGATTTATCATGAGAACGTCTTCGAAAAGCGTAAATGTGTAAGGAACAAGCTCGTCCGGGCAGAAGTAAGATTGCGAAAACGCCGGACTTGCCGAAGTAAATCCTAAAAAGAAAAGGATAAATTTTTTCATGTCAGCTCATGTAAACGAATTCTCAAGGCGGGTCTATATTGCTGCACGCAATTTTGGATTGCAAGATCCGCAGGCGCGGCTTGCGGCGGCCCAAGCTTCGCTGGAGACGTTGTACGGCCAGTCTGTCAAAGGGAACAACTATTTCGGCATTAAGGCGAGATCTTCCTGGAAAGGCGATGTTCAGAGTTTCCAAACCTGGGAAGAAATCGGTGGCAAGCGCGTCAATAAGACTGATCGATTTCGAAAATACGACAGTATTGACGACAGTCTTGCGGATTGGGTGGAGACTGTGTCAACCCGTTGGCCTGAAGCGATGTCGGCGCGAACATTCGCTGATGCTGCGGAAGGTTTGCGATATGGGAAACCTGGTGGATACGCGACGGATAGGAAATACGGTCAGAAGCTAGCCTATATCGAGCGACGCATCGGCGAACAGTATTCTCCTCCCTCTGATGCCCTCCTGCGCTTCAAGGAAGACACAGAAAACAGCGCGTTACTTCAAGACATTCTTTCCGGAAATCAAAAACCAACTGGAACATCTTCGATTTTTGATACCCATCTAATGGGATTACTCAATGTCGAGGCAACTCCCGTGCCGCTTCGGAAGCCAGGCCATAGATCCCATCGGAATGAGGTTAGTGTTAGCGCCAACGACGACAGTGGAAATAACCCGCGCCCTCCCAGGGGCAAGCCCGAATTTGGGGGCGCGCAAAATCACATGGGCAACGTTGCCTTTCCAGTCCGTGCTAAACCACGTTCTAAACCAGAGAGGGTTGTGCCCACTCGCAAACCGTCGGGTCCTCGAGAACAGGGCCGAACCGGCAGGTCCGGCGGACTTAATCCGTTTGATCTGGACGGGACTGATCTCGATCGGCAAGCGCAGCTCATAAAAGAAAACCCCATCCAGGCCAGGCAGTTAATTCTGGCTGCCGGCAGAGATCCGAAACTCTTTGGATTTGCGTGAAAGCAGTCGTCGGTCAAAATCGACTTGTTCGTCCGTTCACAGCAGAATTGTTCAAACACTGCGAGACGACCCAAAACACAAGGTAATCAATTTTTGGTTGTGCTTTCTGAATGCGCGTGAGAACATACAGGGAACGGTATTGGAATGTTGAATTGAGGAACCATGACGAAAAAGTCGACGATTACAGGTTGCCTTGCTCTGGCACTGTTGTCGAGCGTTGCGACAGGCGTTCAAGGTAAAGAAGACTACGACCGGACGCATTGTCCGAAAGAAAATGAGTGGGCTTCTACGATTGATCCGGAAAACAGACCTTTTTTCTGGAGTTTTCAAAAACTGCAATTTGGGCCCATGGCCCGGATGTGACCTCAAACGAAGGCGTAGGTGAGATCGATCGACTTTTTTCGTTCCTCACACATGCCTATCACGACATACCAGAATACAGGAACGAGATTTCCAGTCTGTTTGAGTTAATGAGCAAAGAACCCGGGCCACGAGAGCGTTTCGGCGAGACCGCATTGCTTGAAATTGCGCAGTGCATGGGGGGAGGCCTGCAGGTTGATTGCGCTCAGATGGCAATCGAAAAAGGGTACGTGAAACCGCTTGAAGACCTCATCAACGAGCCAAGCTTCAACGAAACACTTCAATTCCTCAAAGAAGCCTGCCGGGAAAACAAGGACGAGATCAAGTGAGTGAAAAGAGGCACGAAAACCAGCACCTTAGCCTCGCAGAAAACCAACCCGAAACAAGACCGATCTCAGAACCAGAAGTGTTGTTCCAACCAATCCCTTTGACTTGGGACGGCCAGATTTGCAGTTGCAGTCGGAGCTTCTGGACCGCAATCCGGCGCGCGCCCGGCAGCTGATCCTGGCGGCCGGGCGGGATCCGGAGCTCTTTGGGTTCAGATAGCGCTTATTGCTCTATCGATTGCTTTGGGCATCGATCCCGGATCTATGGAGCGGGGGCGACTTGGAACCTGTCCCGGGTGCCAAATGAACCAGGGTGATTTCGGGTGGAACGCCAAAGCGTACCGGCATGATGGAACAGCCAAGGCCGCCTGAAACGATCATATGCTTCTGAGCCTGGGTCCCTGTTTGACCCGGGGAACCGGACGCGTCGAATGTGATGTGACCGTAATTGTGCCTTTTTCCGAGCGTGGTTCCGCTGACAGGCTGGTACCCGAAAAAGTTGATTTGTCCGCCATGTGTGTGCCCGCAAACAGTGAGGCTGACGCTTTCCGGTACTTTTCGAAAGATCTTGGGTTCGTGCGCCATGAGCAAGACGGGCGACTGATCGCTTACCTGCGCCAGCGTGCCTTCCAGATCTTCCTTGCCTTGCCAGCGCTTTCGCCCGGCTTTCCTGTTCGGAACAAGCGCAAGCTGATCGTCGAGCCCGGCGAGCCAGAATGCGTGTCTGCCTTTTCGGATCTTTACGGCGCGGTTCTGATAAAGGGAGATCCCGGCATCCAATAGCGCCCTGCCGGCGATGGGTGGCCCTTTTCCGGTGAGCTGTGCTGTGCGGTCCTCCCACCAGTCATGATTGCCAAGAACTGCGTGGATGCCGAGCGGAGCATTGAAACCGGTGAGGACGCGGGCCCAATCCTTTGACGGGATCGAGCCGGTTCGAAATCTGTGACCAGCGACATAGTCGCCCAGCATAAGCACAATATCCGGTTTGAGGGCGTTGGTGCGTTCAACAATAAACTGCAGCCGCTCCAGTCCCATCCAGGGATCACAGACATGAGGATCCGCGATGAGCGCCGCTTTGAGTTCCAGATCTTCCGGCCAGCGAGCCGGTGTGAGCGCATAGCGCTTCACATGCAATCGGAAGGGTTCAACCCCGACCGCATAGGCCGGCAGGCTGGCTGCGCCAAGAATGGTGGCTCCGAGACCCCGGATGAAATTTCGTCTCGTAATCATCAGCGATAAGCGCTCCTCAGACTGGGCAACGCGCGTTGGTTACCGGCAATCAAAGCGAGTTTTTTTGCAGAAACCTTGCAGAAATTTTTTGTTTTGCGCGGAAATCGCGCCGTCCTGAGGCAGAGGCAGAGGCAGAGGCAGAGGCAGCGCTGTCCTGGACACGCTGATCTTCTGAATACGGTTACAGACCGATAGGGCGCGATGTTCCGAGCCCTTGCGAATTCCGCCTGTTGGCCGTCTGGCGCTCGGGCGGCTGCCGCGGCCCGCGTCGCGGCACTCTCATTCGGACAATCAGGTCCGTGTTTCCGGCGTGAGATCGCCGGATGTTTATCCAAAAATCGAAGACAGGATAGTCAATGACGTCACAGATTTCTGACATCGTGCAGCCGCGTGTTTTCACGCCTTACATGGCCGAAAACAAGCCCGCCAAGCTGGTCATGCTGGAAAAGTCCGGGATTCTTGCAGCGCCCGCGCCCGACATTGCCAAACGATTCAAGGCAGGCGGGAGCCAGATCGAGGTGCCCTACTGGGAGGACCTTGACGACACCGAACCGACGGTGATCGACGACAGTGACAACAAGATCGCCGTGAGCAAGATCACCGCCAGCGACATGAAGGCCTACAAGCACCGCCTGGCGAAAAAGTACGGAGCAAAGACGGTTGCAAGCTATGCTGCGACTGGCCGGGGGGACAGTGCGATGAACCGGGTTGCTGAACGCATCAGCGCCTACTGGGGGCGACGCAAGGAGGAACGCATCATCGCAACAGCCGAAGGTGTGATTGCCGACAATGTTGCAAATGACGGCGGTGACATGGTCTATTCCGTCTACTCGGACACGGCATCACCCACCGCAGGCAACCGCATCAGCTACCAGGCAATCAACCGGGCGCGCCTGACCATGGGGGAGAATCTAGACGATTTGCGTGTCATCGCCATGCACAGCTTTGTCTACGGCACATTGCTGGATGACGAGAAGATCGAATTCAAGAAGCCTTCCGAAGCCCCGTTCGAAGTGCCTTACTATGCCGGCATGATGGTCATGCATTCAGAAATGATGCCGGTTTCTGCCGGCACCAATTCCGATGAGTATTCATGCTTCCTGTTTGCTCCCGGCGCGTTCATGCATATCGACGAGGTTCCGAACCGTGAAACGATCTATGGCAACGAGGGCACCGAAATCACTCGCGACCCGGATATCGGTGACGGTGGCGGGGCCGATTACCTGACTACACGCCGTTTCGAGATGATCCATCCGGCGGGCATGGATTTCACCGGTACGTCGCTTGCAAAAACGCAAGGAGCGACATTGGCGGAACTGCGCAATGTGGCCAACTGGAACCGCAAATATGCGCGCAAGAATGTGAAACTGGCCTGCCTGAAGGTGAATATCTAGACGGGCTTTGTGAAACAGCTCCTCTCCAATGTGGAGAGGAGCCTTTCATTTGTCGCAACGCTCAATCCATTTTTTGTTTAACTCATTGAAATTGATTAATTTTCTGATGTTTCCTGTCTGAGTTGGTTGTTCAGACATTTTCGTCTGATGGACGCTTCGTCAAAACGGGGCTAAAACAGGCTTTATCACGGTAGATTGGCAAAGTGCGGCCAGGATCGCACGACACAGGAGAGCAGCTTTTTCTGAGCTGTGCGCACGGTTACGCGCGCATTGGTTGCAGTTAAGAACAATTCGTGAACATATTGCGGCGGCAAGACAGGAATGGTTCTGATGGCAGATTTTGAAGATATCACCGGCTGGCGGGAGGAGCTGGAGGCGTTTAGGGAAACCGAAGAGGGACGGACGTTTTTTAGCGATGGCAGAAAGAACTATTCCAAGCTGACTTTTGAGCAGGAGGTGCGTTATGCGGAGGAACTCTTCCGGCATGAAGAGATCCATGAAGCTCTGAAAAAATCAGCCAAATTCGTCAAATTTCTGGATGACAATCCCGACTTCGGTCAGGACGACGAGGGCTTTTGGGAATTGTGTCCGGTCGAAGAGAACAAGAAGGTTTCCGCTTTCAGGCGCTGGTATGCAATGAAACTGAACATTGCCCTGGGCCCGTCGACATTTAGCGCAGGCGATAGGTTGGCCATCGACGTGGTGAATGGGGATCTCGCCTCGCTGCGCTCTCCGGAAGCAGAAAAGTTCGTCAAGGAGGATTTCTCCTGGATTGTCGCCTTTCCGCAGGAGGTGCAATGAGGGAAAAAGTGATCATCATCGACGCCTCGCAAATCCTCACGATCATGCGGCGGTCAGGCGTGGATGGCCTGTCCGCGCTTCTTGGGCGGGATGATTCCTTCTTTTTCAGCGACGATTTCACCTTGTGTGTTTGGACTTGAACTTCAGAACAATTCATGAACATTTTTGCGTAGAAAATACGGAACAGAGCTATGGCAGATTTTGAAGATATCACCGGCTGGCAGGATGAACTGGAAGCGTTTGAAAAGACGGAAGAGGGACGGAAGTTTTTTAGCGACGGTTGGGGGAACGCAATCAAGCTGACTTTTGAGCAGGAGGTGCGTTATGCGGAGGAACTCTTCCGGCATGAAGAGATCCATGAAGCTCTGAAAAAATCAGCCAAATTCGTCAAGTATCTGGATGACAACCCTGAATTCGGTCAGGACGACGAGGGCTTTTGGGATTTGTGTCCGGTCGAGGATAACCGGAAGGTTGAAGCCTTCAAGCGCTGGTATGCCATGAAGCGGAGCATTGCCCTGGGCCCGTCGACTTTTAGCGCAGGCGATAGGTTGGCCATCGACGTGGTGAATGGGGACCTTGCCTCGCTGAGCTCTCCGGAAGCAGAAAAGTTTGTACGTGAGGAGTTCTCCTGGATTGTCGCCTTTCCGCAGGAGGTGCAATGATGGAAAAAGTGATCATCATCGACGCCTCGCAAATCCACACCATCATGCGGCGATCAGGCGTGGATGGCCTGTCCGCGCTTCTTGGGCGAGGTGACTACTTCTTTTTCAGCGACGATTTTACCTTGTGTGTTGGGACTTGAAGTTCAGAACAATTCATGAACATTTTTGCGTAGGAAATACGGAACAGAGCTATGGCAGATTTTGACGATATTACCGGCTGGCGGGAAGAGCTGGAAGCGTTTGAAAAGACTGAAAAGGGCCGAACGTTCTTTAGCGATGGCAGGAAGAACTATTCCAAGCTAACTTTCGAGCAGGAGGTGCGTTATGCGGAGGAACTGTTCCGGCATGAAGAAATCCACGAAGCTCTGAAAAAGTCGGCAAGGTTCGTCAAGTATCTAGATGATAATCCGGACTTCGGTCAGGACGATGAGGGCTTTTGGGATTTGTGTCCGGTTGAAGACAGTAAAAAAATTGCTGCTTTCAGACGTTGGTATGCCATGAAACTGAACATTGCACTGGGTCCCTCAACTTTCAGCGCTGGTAAATCACTGGCCAATGACGTTGCGAATGGAGCCCTTGCCTCGCTGCGCTCTCCGGAAGCAGAAAAGCTTGTAAGAGACGAGTTTTCTTGGATAGTCGCCTTTCCGCAGGAGATGCGATAATGGACAAGGTCATTATAATCGACGCATCGCAAATCCTCACGATCATGCGGCGATCTGGTGTTGATGGCCTGTCCGCGCTTCTCGGGCGGGGTGACTACTTCTTTTTCAGCGATGACCTGAAACATGAGTTGGAAATTGCTGAAGAGTGGGAGTCGAAAAACGGGAAGGTTTTCCAGAGATGGCGAGAAGAACAAAGAGTGAACGGACGCTTGCTTGAGGTAGACACGCGGGTCTCGATCGAAGAATACGAGACCTATGACTTTGGCAAGCGTGGCACGTCTCGCGGCGGCAAGGAGCTTTCGGATATGTCGATCCGGAAGTTCATGCTGCAGAACAAGCACCGGTTCACCTTTGAACTTATCAGCCGCGACCTGGAGTTACTCGACCATCGGGTGGATGATCCGAAGCACCCCTTATATGGCCTGCAATTCGACCGGTTGAGCACAAGATCTGCCCTAACCTGGCTGGCGACCCATCCGGATGTGCCCCTCAATCCGCAGAGACTGCGATCCCTCGTCAATGCGATCCAAGACGGCAAATTTGACCTCTCGAAAGAACGGGGTATCACGACGCATGAGCTGGAGCGGGAAAAATTTCATCTTCCCGAGACATATGCGGACGCCTTGCGCGAGCGTATGCGGCGGGCGGCAACCGAACCGAGGCGCAGAAGTGATATCAAGGGCCTCAAGAGCCAAGCCGACGCGCGCCTTGGTGTTTCACCGGTTGATCAGGGATCTGCTGTGCCCCTGTCTCCGTCCGGCGCACCGTTCGAGGGTCAGCTCGACGGTCTGACGGAAGGCCAGAGCGGCGGCGAGATTGGTGGCCCGATTGGGGGGCGGATCGATCCGGAGGCAGGTCTCAGCGGCAAGGCGAGCGGATCGCTTCAGGAAGGGCCGAAGATCGGCCATCGGTTCATGAACATGCTGCGCAAGGGCGCGCCGGTTGTCCTGCTCGGTCTGGCGATCCCGCCGGTGTTCTCGATGGTCAAGGCACGCGCCGGGGAGCGGAACATTCCGTTTGATCAGGCAGCGCGCGAACTGGGTCTGGAGTTCGGCGAGGAAGAACTGAAGGACCTGGCGGCGGAAGCCGGTATCGACCTTGCAATTACCTTCACGCCGATCGGACCGTTGAAGAAAGCCTGGGACGTCCTGGGCAATATCGACGATGTCGTGTCGCTGATGCAGCTTTACGGTGAGGCCTATCCGGACAACGAAGTGATCCAGCAGATGGCAGCGCTTGCCGACGATGTCGCGGACTCAGCCGCGCTTGCCGCCTATGTGGAAGGACGCGATGCGCTGACCGGGGCGGTTGGCGGGGTTCTCGACCGGGTGTTCGGCAGTGCCGAAAGCGAGGAAGAGGCCGCCGAGGCGATCGGCAAGGTGCGCGGTGCGATCCGGACCGGCGGCGAAGAGCTGGACGCAGCGCTGGCCAACGGCGCAGGCACGAACGAACTCACCGATCTGCTGCTGCACCGGGCGGAGGAAAGCGCACCGGCACGGCTGGTGGAACCGGATTTCCGCAATCCGGACCTGTCGCCCGGGCGCGTGCTTGAGGGCGAGGCACCGCTGTCGGATGTCGACCGGTTGCCGGGGTCCGACCCGATCCTGCCGCCCTCGATCTGGCCCGAGGAACGCCTGCATGGGGCGGAGCGGAGCGGCGCGGATGATTTGGCCGCAGCATCGGGCCAGGCCGGATCTGGAGCAACAGGTTCGTTTTCGGGCCGCAAGACATCCTATGACCGGGTCAGGCGCTTTGGCGGAAGCCCGGAAGAAGAAGCGCAGGCGCTTGCGGAATACAATGCACAACTGAAGCAGAGCCTCATCTACATGCGGGGCGACGAGGAGGTTGCCAAGGTGACTGCTGCGCGGATCCTGGCGCTTGAATGGGGTCTGACGGCCTTTGCCACCCATGAGGACGGCACGGTGATCAAGTATCCCGTGGAGAAGGTCTACAGCGATCTGGAAGAGGACGGTTTCCGCTATGTGCGCGAGGATGCGGAGCAGGCACTGACAGAACGGGGGATCAGGGCGAAACAGGTCTATGTGATGCCGAACCGGCGAACGGGGAGTGACTGGCTGCAGGGGGGATATGACGAAGACGGTTATGGCCCGCGGATGACGCTGTCCTATGACGATGAGGCGGGTGAGCGGCGTGTGGTGACGGAGAGTTTCCAGGCGAATGTGGACCGGGCCTGGCAGCGCAGCCGCATGACCCATATGGCGCAGCTAAGGAAAAAGGCCGAGGAGTTCGGCCTGACACAGCCAGAGAAGCCAAAGACGGAAACCGGAACATTTATCCCGCGTACGACCCCGGTCCCGTCCGATGTACCGGTGCCGCAAGCGAAACCTGAATTCGCTGCCCCGGGTTGAGGGCATGTCTCTAGGGTTGTGTACGGGTGGCTTTGCCACCCGTTTTCATTTCAATGAAGGGTTTAGATATGGACGAGATCATCATGCGACGTCTCAAGCACTTGCAGTGGCTTGAAGAGAACCATGACAAGGACTTTCAGAAACGACTTGCAGTCGAAAACTCCAAGGTGGATCAACCGGTCGAAACCCCAACGAACGTTGTGTTGGCGGTCAGCGACCGCAACGCAAACGACGGGGAGGCAATCGACGCAGGTACGGCGACAAAAGGCGATCAGCTTCCCAGAGACTGGCGCAAGGAACACTGGAAAACCCTTCAGTCGATGGCCGCCGATTATGCCGGCATAACCGTAGCAAACAAGCAAGAGGCATTGCGCGCGCTCGAAATCTATGAAGCAGATTTCAAGTTGCCGCCGGCCGCATAATCCAAACAAAGGCACCAACCATGTCCGGTACCGTTCACACTTCAGTGGATCTGGCGAATCTGGCGCTTGCGCATCTAAAGGAAGCGCCAATTCGTGATTTTGACTATTCTTCCGTTGCTTCCCGTTGGTTTCGTAACAATTACGCGGTTCACCGGGATGCCTTTCTGGGCCAACACGACTGGGACTTTGCCACATCGTTGGTGAATCTGCCTGCGGAAACAACGCAACCGCCGTTTCGCTGGTCGTATCAGTACCCCAAACCGGTGGACTGCCTGCGCATTCCACAACAAACGGTTGGCGGCAAGCCCGACGGGCAACTCGTTTCATTCGAGGTGGTCGGGCAAAAGATCCTGTCGGATCAAAAACCACCTTTTCCGTTTCGCTACATCAGGAGAGTAACGAGGGAAATCGAGTTTCCCCCGCTGTTCGTGCATGGGCTTGCGCTCTTTCTGGCGTCCAGCTGCGCGCATGTCATTACCGGCAAGAACAGCCGCGCGGAGGCGTTGCGCCAAGCGACGCAAGAGGCGTTCGAGCGTGCCGGCACAACCGATGCAGCGCAGGGATCACCGCTGCCCCTGGCAAATCTGGATATCATTACGGACCGATGAGCTATCAACTTCAATCGACCTTCAGCCGGGGAGAACTGGACCCAGAGCTGATATACCGCTCCGATCTTGAGTTCTTCCGGTCCTCGCTCGCCGAATGCCGGAATTTCATTACCCTCAAGAGGGGCGGACTGCGCCGCAGAGGCGGAACCAAGTTCATTGCCGAACTGAAAGACAGCTCATCCGGTGGGTGGCTGATTCCATTCGAATTCGGCAACGGCCAATATTACATGCTTGAATTCGGAGATTATTATTTCCGTGTCTACACGAATGCCGGGCGCGTCGGTTCGGTGGAGGTCTCTACACCTTACGCGAAAACAGTTCTTTCCAAACTCAAATTCGTGCAATCCACCGACACGCTGTTCATCACCGGAGGAGGCGTTCGTCCGCACGCTCTCAAACGGCTCGGCGAGACAAGCTGGACCATCGAGCCGATGGAATTTGAAGACGGCCCATTTCTGGATGTGAACATTTCCGCCACAAATCTGGCGCCGTCCGAGACCGGCAACCCTGTTCCGGACATGGTCTCGAACACCGCACCAAGTGGTGTCGTTACTTCGTCCAACAGTTCCTCGACAGCATGGCAGGTCTTCAACCGTTCGGAAGGCAAAGTCATACTATCCGCCGGAGCTTCCGGCTGGGTGCGGTATCAATTCCCGGCCGCCGTCGTCATCGATGCCTATATGCTGCAGGCGCCAAGCGACAACAGTCAGAATGACGACATGCCTTGGCAATGGAATATCGAAGGATCCAATGATGGCGCCGGCTGGACAATTCTCGACACACAGGACGGGCAAGATACCTGGGCGTCCAGTGAATGGCGGGAGTACGCCTTTCATAATGAAACCGCGTACACGCAGTACCGGCTGCGTTTCACGCAGGGCGGCGGATCGAATTCGGACAATTCCGCTATCGGTCAGATCGTCTTTCACCAGGCCGGGT